CCTTCCCCTTTATAAACTGCCATTTTCCTATGTGCCACATCTGTCTCCTCTCCACCCAAAGGCAGTCCTTTGTCCCTTTCCTTCCCCTTCTCCCTTGCCTCTGTCTCCTGTCTTTGTCTCTTGTTCCCTGCCCTCTGTCTCTCTGGGGATCCTGAGCCATCCTTCCTTTTGATGACAGGTGTGCATACTACACCAGTTGTGCAGGCCGAGCTGGAGATACAAGGGCTATGCATGCTAAACAAAAACTCTACCGACTGAGCTACATGCACTCTGCTAATTAAGCTGGCTTACAACTTAAAAACTTTTACGTACCTTTATTTGGCTGGGGGGTGAGTAAGGTAAACCAGCTATGGGTACATAGGTCAGAGAACAACTTGTAGGGGTCCATTTTTCCTTTCCACCATGCAGGTCCCAAGGCTGAGCCTAGGTGTGAGGTGCAGTCCAGGTGAGCCTTCTGGCTTGCTCTGCTGTTTTCAAGCTGTGATGTCCACTTTCACAGACACATTTTCAGGATGGAAGAGGTCCTGCCTGGCCATCTTTGGAACTCTGCCCTTTCTCTGGGTCAGTTAATGTGTTTTTACAGAAAATTTCCCCAGATGCTATAAAAAGAAAAAGAAAAAAAAAAAAAAAAAAAGCTGGGAGGTAGTAGCAAACGCCTTTAATTCCAGCCACCTGAGCTACAACCACCCTGAACTACAACCACCCTGCCACCTGAGCTCTAGGCACATTACCAATCAAGCCTGCCCCAGCCTCCTGTTTAGTCTCCTTTTTGAGCCAAGATTTTGTGACTTGCCCAAACACTATCCTTGAAGCTGCCCCATGACCCTGGCTGAGCCCCTGTCCTCCAGCCTCAATTCCTAGTGGCTGTTTTTCTGTTGTTCTTTTTTTGCATGCCTGGGTGCTTTCTCAATAACAGCAGAAATGCCTCAGTCACCTCATGACACAGCATTCCCCCTATCCCCACTGCATCCAACACAGCAGGAGAAGGCTCACACTCTAGGTAGCGGCTGGAGAAACCCGCTGGGGGACCTGCCCACAGAGCTTCGTCTGCATTTTTCTTTGGAATAGAATGGCAATGGCTCAGTGGTTAAGAGCACTGTCTGCTCTTCTGGAAGACTGGGGGATCCAGTTCCCAGCACCCACATAGAAGCTCACAACTGTCTGCAACTCTAGTTCCAGGGGACCCGACACCCATGGCAAAACACCTGTGTACATAATATAAAAATAAATAAATTTTAAAAAGAAAACCTAGAAATGTAATAACAAAACCAAAAAAAAAAAAAAAAAATAGACAAACAAAAAACCTTCGAAAAACAAAAACCCCAAAACTCATGATTGTTAAAAAAAAAATGTTCTAGAACCCAGGAGAGGAGATATTTGTATTACATAAAATAGTACATTTATGTCATGTGTGCTTTAGAAATAAAACCATTTCTGTAAGTAAATCCAGCATCAACATGTCAGGGCTCAGGGTGTCAGCCTGAATGGGGGTCAGGAGCAAAGGGAGACCGCGGGCGCCACCCCCAGCACGGAAGCAGACTGGGGAGGAAGGGATGAATGACTGGATGAAGTAATGAAGAACGGACAGATAACCAGTTACAGAAAACCCTGTGGCCCTCAAGACTCCTTCCTCATAGCTCAGACTGAGGCAGCCAGCAAGGGAGGCCTGGCTTCCTGTCCCCTACCCTGGGGGACATGACAGGAAGGTGGATTCTGGGTTCCAGCCTGTCTCACTGGTTCCTGGCTGTGACCTTGACAAGGCCCCTTTTCCAGCCTCAGACTGCCTTCCACCAACTGAGCAAAGTGTCACATGATGGGGTGATAAATGTTATATTGGGCCAGGCATCTGGTCCTCCAGTAATTGGGAGGCTGGGACACAGGGGTCAACAGTTTGAGACTGGCCAAGGTTAGGCAGACCCTATCTCAAAACTGCTAGAAAAATTCAGACCCTGGAGCTCCAGATACTCCACATCTGAGAGGTCAGGACAAGAGCTCTCAAGACATAGGAAGAAGATAAGGCACTAAAGTGAGTTTTTTGTTTGTTTGTTTTTTGAGACAGGGTTTCTCTGTGTAGCTTTGTAGATTGGGCCTCAAACTCACAGAGATCCACACGACATGCACCACCAGCTCAAAAGTGGGGTTCAAGAGGTGCATTGCTGCTCAACATGAAGTTTGCAGGAGCCTTTCTGAGTTCTGACTGCCTGAACTGACATAATCGCTGAGAATTTAATAATGTCTTAGCCAGTGAATCTGGGCTTGCAGCCCCATTAAAGCCTCATCTGAGGTCCTGGGCTGGGCACTGGGGTTGTCCCGGATGACCCAGGACCACCCTGATTCCCCAAGGTCATCATGAAATGAGGACAGCAGGCAGCCCTGTCTTCTAGTGAGTCCTATGACATTTCCAATTGCTCTGGTGCATCATTGACAGGACCGGTGCTTTCCTGTGTTGACACAGATGGGCTGACCCATCGTGGGCAGCTCACCTCTGCCCCAGTGTATGGCCTCATGATCCAGCAATGCTTTTCCTGGCGAGGAAGTCAGGGTCCTGTCCCGCTGAGGTAATGGCTGGCCGGCTGCCCACAAATGAGCCACCCTGCTCCACTGCAAGGCTCTGGAACTAGTTATGAGGTCATCAACTGAGGATTTTGGTGAAGGAAAGCCAAGTTGGCAGGATGCCACATTCCAGAGTTTCCTGAACCAGAAATCTCTGTTGGGAGGAGGGTGGATGATGCTTATCGGAGGATGAGGGACCCCATGGAGCCTTGCTGCTCTGGAGCTCTTGGAGAACATTCCATGAACACAGTGAACAGCTAACTGATCCTGGTCTTAAAGAGACAGGGGTCCATTGATGGACAGGGTTGCCACTACGACTATGTGTAGGGAGCGTGGAATAGTATACAGTAAGGAAAAGAGCTGGGTGACTCAGTCCTATCATCTCAGCACTCAGGAGAGTGAGGTAGGATGATTGTGGGTTTGGGGTCACAGAGTGAGAGGGTGCTAGGGCAGGAGGAACTTAGGCTGGCCTCTGACATATGTGTTTCTCTGGGGACTTAGACACCCCCCCAAAAGCTAGCCCCAGTCTGGATGGCATTAAAGTGTACTGGTGCCTTTACTGAGTGCCTTTTGTGTACTCAGGTCACATGGGGTCCGTAGACCTCTGCCACAGTCTGTGGTGACCCCATGGGATGAAGCTGGAGGCTTAGCTGTTCCTATGCATCAGTTGGGGGGGCCTGGGGAACCCTTGCTGACACCCCATCCTTTTTTTGAAAAAGTGAAACAGAACCTAGCACAGATGTTGTTAGGAAAGCAGTCTGCCACTGAGCCAGGCCTGGGACCAGAGCAGCAGTTTAAGAAGATACCTAGGTCCAGAGAGGTAGCCTTGGGCGACCTGGGGTTGCTGCTTTCTTGGCCTGCAGGGCCAGGCTGGGTACAGAAGCGCCAGGAACAGACAGCCAGGCTTGTATCACACCATGCTAGACTGGAATAGCCGGCACCACGCGGAGCGCTCTGCCGACGTTCTGGCCGCAGCCGCCAGGGGGCGCCGGCAACTCGAGTCGAGTATACCTGCGAGGAGCGGCCTAGCAGCCCAGGAGAGGAAGGCAACCCTCAGCTCCCACCTCTATAGCCAAATACCTAATTCGGGGTGCATGAGTCCCGCGTGCCCTTTTCTCACGGGCCGCCTCACATCCACGCAGCCAGCCGTGCCCCAAGAGACCCCAGGCGGCCCCCACAGCCTCCCCAGCCGTGAGAAAGGGATCCATCTTCAGACCACCGGCCTTTGCTTGGGTGAAGAACTGAGGAACTTGTCCAGGGTTACACGGGGATCGCTGGATGGTGTCTCTGTAGTGTGGGTACAACTCAAGTCCTCCTTCGTACCCAAGAGATGCAGGCCTCTGCCCCCTTTCACAGAGAGAGAAACTGAGGCTCCGCTGTCAGAAGGCCCGGATGTCTGGCCAGGAGCAGTGGGCCGCAGTGTGACCCAGGCCAGCTCCTGTGGAGGGGCAGAAAAAGTCAGGGATGAAAATAATCCCAGAACCCCACACGCACCGGCCGGGTGCCCCCCACTCACGCGGTGCAGTGACCTCAGAACTCCCACAGCTGCGAGCTGAGGTTGGGGCTATCTCCATCCAAATTGATCCTGAAGAGATGCACATTTGGGTAAAGGGTCCTAGGGGACAGGTAGCATTGAGGTCAGGGGGCCAGAGGTATGCGGGAGGAGGGGCCTTGTGGGCGGGGCCTGGGTCTGCAGGGGAGGGGCCTAGGGCATCTGGGGAGGGTTTGCCTGACTCCCCTGTGGTGACCCTCGAGCTCCCCAGGGGGCTGATGGCCTCCTGTCTGGACCTACTCATAAGAAGAAGGCCCACTGTGGACATCTTGCCCCTCTCTCCCCAAGAGGGGCGGCCAGTCTGTGGAGATAGAGGCAGGGACCTAGATGTGAGCACCAAGTAAGCCCGGAAAGGCAAAGTTATCTAAGTCTTCCTGGAGCGGGGGCTGTTTGCACATAGTTTTGAAGGACTGGAAGGTGTGCGGAAGAGGACACAGAGCAGGTGCAGATCCCCGGCTTGTGCCTTGCCCTTCCATCACAGCTCATTTGGTCAGGGCTGTAAGATGTAGTTCTGGGACACTGAGGCATGCACACGGTGACTTGCCCAAACTTGTCCTGTCTAGCTTTTTCTTAGCTTCTTTTGTGTAACATCTATCTTTGGTGGGGGAGGGGGCAGGAAAAGAAGGAGAAGGAGAGGGAGAGAGCGCTGGTCTCAAGGGGAAGGAAGAATTCACTTGAACTTCAGTCTGGACTCCGTCACATGTTCTGTGGGGATGGTCAACCTTCACTGTCACCAGACCCTGCGGTTCATCCCCCACCCCCAGCCCTCGGGGTTCCCGCCCGGATCAGCCTGGTCACCCGAGTTGGCACCGTGAGCTGGGGCGGGGCGGACAGAGTCCAGGACTATAAAGGCGGTGGCAGAAGGTTGAGGTCAAAACCGCAAGCAGGACACAACCAACATGGCCCTGCCTGCGCCCGAGGCCCAGCCTCCAGGCAGCTCGCAGCTGAGGTTCCTGCTGTTCCTGATGATGCTGCTACTGCTGATGTCATGGCCTTCGCCCGGGGACTCTCTGGCACTGTCCGAGCAGCGACGCTCCCACCTGGAGTCCCAACTTGACGCCCATGAACTACGAGGTCGCTTCCAGGACCTGCTGAGGCGGCTGCATGCCAACCAGAGCCAGGAGGACTCGAACTCAGAACCCATCCCCACTGTTCGGATACTCACTCCAAAAGGTGAGTGGCACCTGGGAACCCATCTGAGCAACACACTTCCCCGTCTAACCAACACATTCAAGTCCACGAGGTTCCGCCCAGCGTCCGAGCCTCAGTTTCCCCAGATGTGAAGGGTAGGAAGACCCTGTCCCTTCTGGGATGGCCTCAGTCCTGTGGGCAGCAGGATCAGCAACCCGTCCCCAGACCGGAGCTGGACAGATGACGTCCAGAGACATCAGGGTCGCTCCCGAAGGTGCACAGCGCTCGGGTGGGAGAGAGCGGGGATCAGGAGGCGGGGGCCCTGCAGTGAGGAGGCAGGGACAACGGTCAGGTGGGAGCCACGAGGAAAGAACCTGCAGGAACTAGATTGGGAATCTGACGCAATCGTGACTGTAACAAGTGATAGCGCCTGGGTGGGAGAGGAGGATCAGCGATGTCGTGTCGGCGCTAGGACCCAGGGCGGGGGGTAGGGCCAGGCAGGTTGGGTCCCAAATCAGCCAGCGCTGTGACTCCAAATGAACTGCTGCGCGGTTTCTGAGCCGAGACTCCGTGGCTACGGCTGTGGTGGCGCATGCCTGTCACCCCAACTACTCCAGAGGTTGAGGCAGGAGGCTTGCCATGAGTTCAAAGGGCTACATAGTGAGACCTTGCCCCAAATTTTAAATCTTTCTTTTGAGATTTTTTTTTTTTTTTTTTGAGAGAGCGACTTTCGTAGCAAGCTCGGGACAATCCTCCGTCCCCCAAATTCTGCGAGGGCAGGTGTCAGCCAACAAATCCTGCTTCAAAATGCTATCTACTTTAGCCGGGCGTGGTGGGGCACGCCTTTAATCCCATCAGGGAGGCTGGGGCAGTATCTGGGAGGCCAGCATGGTCTACACAGCGCTGTAGAGACCTTGGGCCCGCGCCCATGTTTGACGGCCGTGCATCTTGCACAAGGGACGGGCACAGGCTTTCCGTTTCTTCTTCAGTGCGACTGGGGCCGCGCGGCCACCTGCTGCTCCACGTCCGCCGGGCGTCGCTGACCCAGGGTCTCCCCGAAGCCTACCGCGTGCACCGAGCGCTGCTCCTGCTGACACCGTCGTCCCGACCCTGGGACGTCACCGCGACCTTGCAGCGTGCCCTAAGCCTCGGGGGACCCCGCAACCGCGCACTGCGCCTGCGCCTGGCAGCGCCCCCCGACGTGGCCGTGACGCCCTCTAGCGGCGTGCGCCTAGAACTGCACTTGCGGCCGCCCGCCGGTAGGGGGCGCCGCAGCGCGCATGCGCGCCTCAGAGACTCTTGCCCGCTGGGTCCCGGGCGGTGTTGTCACCTGCAGACTGTGCAGGCGACCCTCGAGGACCTGGGCTGGAGCGACTGGGTGCTGTCCCCGCGCCAGCTGCAACTGAGCATGTGTGTGGGCGAGTGCCCTCACCTCTACCGCTTGGCCAGCACACATGCTCAGATCAAGGCGCGCCTGCATGGCCTGCAGCCCGATAGGGTGCCCGCCCCCTGCTGCGTCCCTTCCAGCTACACCCCAGTGGTCCTCATGCACCAGACAAACAACGGTGTGTCGCTACAGACCTACGATGACATGGTGGCCCGGGGCTGCCACTGCGCATGAGCTCCGGGCTGTGCCCCTCACCTGCACTCCACCCTGCTATTTATATTTGTATTTATTAATATTATTAATTTATGGGGGGTCTGGCTGGGTTGGTGTATTGTCTATTTATTTAAAGCTCTGTAATAAATATGAGACCGGTTTCTATGGGGGTCTGACCTTGGAAAGCTTCAGTTTTCCCCAAAACAGTAAGTAGCTTAGGGATTGTAAGACCCTCAGAATGAGGAGTCTTCCAGGTTCGGTGGATACCCCAAGAACTCAATGTCCAGTCCAGTTGCTGCAAAACGCAAGAGGCTTTAATGAACAGGAAACGTTTGCGCAAACGGGCTCCTCCAGCACGCTGGCTAGGGAGAAGCCCCCTCCCCTGGGCCCAGGGGCAAACCCACAAGCTTAGGGAGGGGGTGGGACCCTCTGTCCATTGTGTACATGACCCTTGGAGGCTGGATGGTCTGCTATTAGGATCAATAGACCTTAGGGCCTCAGGGTGTGCTAATTAATTTTGTCTGGGCAAACCAGAGTTGTAGCTATCTCTTTGTTTCCTAAGGACCCTATTTACTACCTGCTGACTCACAGGAAAGGAGGGGCAGTGTGAATTTTTCTTATCTCAGGGCCTTGTGAGAATAAGCTAGCAAATTCCAAGGAACAGATAATGGTTTCCAGGTCAGTCCATCATTAACATTACTTTTTTGGTCTTTCATTCCCCCCTTTTCTCTTGTCAATAGTTCTAATCTTATAACTATGGAATTTAAGAAGCAGCCTCCTCTTGGCTCCGGAGGCTCCTGTACTGCTATCTAAGCACCATAATCTGGACAGCACTCATAACAAAAGTAACAATTTTTCCAATAGTAAGCAACAAGAGAGAAATAAAAATGGGCAGTTGTAAGAGGCTGTCCCTGGGTCCTATAACCTGGAGTGGCGTGGGGGTGGGTCCAGAGGAGGAGGACCCAGTCTCAAGGTTTCCGTGTGGTGACATCTAATGTAATCTGGATCTCCAACTTGGAAGTGATGTGAAACTTTCAAGTCTCCCGCCGGGTAGGTTTCTCAGAGCTGCTTCCACGCTCACTGTCTCACCCACTCGAGCACCTTAAGCCTAGCAAACAGAGGCTTAAGAGAACAGCACATCAGCACTATGTACAGAGGTAATTTCCACAAGTGGAGGGCCCCCACAGAGCCATTTACAGGGGCTCAGCCCAAACAGTCTAACCCTGAAAAGCATAAAGGGTAGGAGAGCTATCCGATCATTAACGCCAGTCTCCGCAGTCAATTTAGTGAAGGTCTCCTCAATGGTTTTATTTATGCTTTCTACCTGAGCTTTGGGGTTTGTATGCACAATGCAATTTTAATCAATCCCCAATATCTTGGCCAGTGATTGACTTACCTGGGCAACAAAAAAGCTGGACCATTGTCTGATTTTACTACCTTAGGTATTTTAAATCTTCGGAAAATTTTCTTCAGTAATTTTTTTTACCCACATGGTTGAGACAGGCCCATGCACATGACAGATGAAAAAGCATACCTGTTGCCTGTTAATGTCTAGCAGTACCACTGCCCCAGCCCTTTCTTTACCTTTTACAATGTAACAGCTCCCAGCAGTGAACAGGTCAACATCTCCAGCCAGCAGGATGTCCTTAAGATCTTTACAAACTCCAGTCTCTTTAACCAACAGTTGATGGCAGTCATGAGTCCCTGGTTCACCAGTCTCCTCAGGCAGAAGAGTGGCAGGATGAGGCTGGCTGGTGGAGCGAACACAATCCACTCAGTCTCTCAATGAGAAGCAGGCTTTGGTGGTGAGTCACACGGGCGTTGGTCATCATCAGTTGGCGGCTGCCGGACAATGCTCTCCAATGCATGGGGGCTATTATAGTTGCTTTATGCCCCAAAGTCAACTTGTCAGCAGCGATAGCTTTTAGACAGCCAGGCCCTCCCCTGGCTACAGGATCAAGCTTCTTTGGCAGATAAGCAACTGGTCTGTTCCACAGCCCTAGGGATTTGGTCAAAACTCCCCAGGCGACCCCCTTACGCTTGTCCACATTAAGGGTAAAAGGTTAGTTACATCAAAATGCTTAGAGCAGGTGCTTTCAACTGGGCCTTCTTAATGGCATCAATAATGTCTCCTGATGCTCTGGGGTCCAGGAGAATTTTTTCCTTAGCCTGCAAAACCCAGATGTCCCCAGAAATTCTCTTACTTGCCTGGCCATCGTTGGGGAATTTTAAACCCTTGGGACAGTCAGGTCCAGATGAGCTGCCCAGTTCTGCACGTGTCAGGGTCCTTCCATTCAAAGGCAAAAAGCAGTTGGCTGGTGGGATGTAACCTCGAACGAGTGGGGTACCCGGCCCACGCCAAGGTCCACTGTTCTTCGGGTAGTCCATGAATTACCTTGGGCTCGGGGAGGGGGTCCAAACCCCGTCTCCCTTTAGTTTTATCCTTTCTTAGGCTAGGACTTTGATACCTTGTCTTCTTGGGACAGTCATTTGCCAAGTGTCCTTTTGCTTTACAATATGCACACTGGTCCTTCTTGTCGAGTGGGGTCCTGTTGCCCAGGTTCCCTAGTCTGTTTTAAATTTTTTTAATTTTCTCTCTCTCTCTCTCTATTTTTTTCTTTAACCATTGTAGCCAAGATTTTTTAGTCAAATTCTTTTCCTGTCTTCTGTCACGCTTTTTCTTTGCTCTCTGTCTCTCTACTGTCTTTCTTTTCTCTCCTTCTCTTCTCTGTCCCTTTCATACATTTTCTCTTTCTCTTAACCCTTCCAGTCTCTGGAGTTTCTTCCTAATATCTGTGGCCCAATTTCCCCATGAAGACCAGAGCCACCGAAGCTCTCTGGGCTTCTGAAGTAGGGTCAAAAAGTGCTCTCTTTACCTTAGCCAAATTGGTGGGCCGTCTCGAGGCACCTCAGAGACCTGCCACCAGAGCCTGGCGATAGATTTTTAAGCTCTCCCTACCTTCAGCAGTGTTGCCCAACTGGGGTGAGTCAAAAGAAATCCCAAGTCAATCTCATTTTTTTCAGCTGTGCTGGCCGCCCATCGGCTCCAGGGATATTTTTCTAGCCTCAAGCAGAAACTGTTGATAATCATCTCAAATAGCCTAGAGAGAGAAGATAAGGAACTCCAAAAAGGGGGTGGTTAGTTTTCCAATTACAAAGATCTGGGGAGAAGGGTCAGCCCTGGAGGCTGGTGTTGGGAACCAAACATGTGCGGTGGCAGGGTCATAAGTCATAACCCTGTCCCTCCATTCCGGCATGGCTCTGCCCAGGCCGCACCATGGCTGTTCAGCCATTCTGCTGAAGCTCAGCCCCAGCGGCTCTAGCTGCCCTGCCACATTCCTGAGAGCAGGGGACGAGTGTGCTCATAGCTGGGTCTCAGGCCCTGCTCTCCTGTGGATCTAAAGTCAAACTTAGGTGGGGTAGTTAGTTGTTCACCCATGGGGAGAGTAGAAATGTACACAAACAGTAGGAACAGAAGGACACAAAAACATACACAGAACAATCTGACAAAAAGGACAAATCCGTGCGGTAGACAAATGGTGCCCAAACCAAAGTTACAAAGCGGGAGGGAAGCAAGTCCAGAGGCCGGCCGTCCACTGGAGAAGAGAAACTTCGTCTCCTTCCCTCCTCCAAACAACCCGGGACTTTAGTTCAGGGCGGGACCAAGGGTCTCAGGACACATCTGTCTCCCCCTGTGGTCCTATACAAGTCCTATGCAGGCCAGTCACAGATTCAAATACTCGAGTCAAAAACACGTAATATCAGACGCATCAGACATACGTCAAACATATAGGTTGTGAGCTCTTACCTCCAACTGGCAATGGAATTGAGTCTGGGGGGGGGGTCAACCAAATCCCGGACGAGCCCCCAAAATGTAAGGATGAGTGGGTGAGAATGAATGAATGAATGAGACATCAGGAGTAAAGGGGTTTGCACCCAAGCCTGACGACCTGGGTTCAATTCCCAGGGACTCACTTAGTCCCATGGTGGAACTGACTCCTGACAGCAATTGTCCTATGTCTTCTGATCTCCATGTGCTCACTTGCTCTCTCTTTCTCTCTCTGTCTCTGTCTTTGTCTCTCTTTCTCTCTTACACACACACACAAATACGACACAATAAAAAAATTCTTTTAAGGGCCAGAGAGATGGCTCAGTGGTTAAGAGCACTGACTGCTTATCCAGAAGATCAGGGTTCAATCCCCCAGCACCCACATGGCAGTTTAAAACTGTCTGTAACTCTGGTTTCAGAGTACCTGACACTTTCACACCAATGTATATAAAATAAAGGTTTTTTTTTTTCTTTTTTAAACATTTTAAAAGAGTTGTAGCATGTCTGGACTGTGCTAAATATCAAAGTCAATCTATGTCATTTGTCACAGGAACAGTGCCTGGCTTCACCTTAGCCGCTCTTCTAATGGCCCTTCCAGTATGATGGGGGTTACCTTTTCAAATATAGGCAGCCCGAGATCATCATATTTGAAATTCTACCAGACCATGCTGACCCCAGCAGGGAAGAGATCATCAGCCTTGCTGTTTCTAGAAATTGCTTTCACGATAATACTGCCTTTGGTCTTTCTTATGAAAAGAGTAAACAATAAGTTATGAGGAAGTTCCACTCACACTCTCCCAGGAGAGACATTCCTCATATGTATCTCAGAATTGCTGAGTCCAGGCCCTCGCACCTGTGTAAACCCTTCTGACGTGTGCAAGAGTGTCCCTTTCTACATCATTCATCAGTGAAAGAACAGGTGATTTAGAAGGTCTGGTAAAGAAGTCACCTGATAGGTTGGGGATGGTTGTTCATGCCTTTAATCCCAGCACTTGAAAGGCAGAGGCAGGCAGATCTCTGAGTTCTGTGAGTTCAAAGCCATCCTGTTCTACAAAGTGAGTTCCAGGACAGCCAGGGCTACACAGAGAAATCCTGTCTCAAAACAAACAAACAAACAAACAAAAACAAAACAAAACAAAAAAAAACCACGTGATGGGGCAAGTGTGAGGTGAGACAGGGCTGAGGCTGAAGGTCCTGAGGTAGGGTTGGGCAGGGCCCACGGTAAAGAGGACCCTCAGCAGAGAGCCTGTGGGGGGTTTCTTAATTGACAGTGATGTGTGAGGGTCCAGCCACTGCCCCCTGTCTGCTGGTACTGCAGTTGTGTGAGCAGCTAGGAGGAACAAGTCTGTAAGCTATCCAGGACTCAGGCCTTTCATCCCTGGTGGCTCCCTTGGGTCTCCTGCACAGCAACAGGAACCCACAGGGATGTCAAACACCAAAGCAGCAGACTGGTCCATCTGTCCTCAGAAGTTTCAGCCTGCACCAACTGCTCTTGATGGTTTCCCTTTCCACTCCCCAAGCTCCTAGGCACCCTGCAGGACCCACTGCAGATTCTCCTATCCAAACTTGGAACCCTATCCAAACATTTTCCTTCTGGGGACTTTCCTCCCATTTCTCCTCCAAAAAAGACCCAGCCAGCACCCCTGAACTAGGGGTACCCCTGACCAGGTTTTGCCTCAGCAGGAACTGGACCAGCATGGGGTGTCACACTGAGCTCTGGGAAGCTTGACTGAGTTTGAGGAATCTTGGAAGGCTTCTCGGGAGTGGCGTGCTGTTAGTCATGGTTCTTTAGAGTAACAGAACTTACAGAATGACTCTCTATGCATAGGGAAAGGGTTTATTGAAGGATTTACAGGCTGCAGTCCAGGTAATCAACAATGGCAGGCTGTGAACAGAAAGAATCCAGTAGTTGTTCAGTCTACAAGGCTAGATGTCTCAGCTGGTCTTCAGTATATACTGAAGTCTTGAAGAAGTAGGTTCTGATGCCAGGGATGTGCTAGCAAGTTGAGGGCAAGCAGACAAAGCAAAATTTTCCTTCTTCTATGTCCTATTAGATTTCCAGCTGAAGTTGTGGCCCAGATTTAAAGGCGTGTTTTCCCACTTCAAGATCTAGATCAAAAGCATGTGTCTGACATCTCAAAGATTCCGACTAGAAGTGGATCTTCTAGCTGGACATTTGTGGCACACGCCATCAATCCCAGCAAGAAGTAGAGACAAGTGGATTTCTGTGAGTTCGAGGCCAGCCTGGTCTACAGAGTGAGTTCAAGGACAGCCAGGGCTGCACAGAGAAACCCTGTCTCAAAGAACAAAACAAAAAGAAAGAAGAAAAAGAAGTGCATCTTCCCGCTTGGAATTAGGCAGCAATCCCTCACAGTGTTCCCTCACTTTTGGGTTTTAGTTAATTTCAGATGTAGCAGGTCGACAACCAAGAGCAACCACCACAGCCTTGAAGTGTTCGTTGGGTGGGCTTGTTTTGTTTTTAATTTGTTTGTATGTCTATTTGGTGAGCAGTGAAGCCATGTGAGAAAGAAAGAAGGAAAGAAAAAGTGGCACAAGGAGCAGCAGGGGCACCACACAGGCTAGAAGCCCTGACCGGCATCCCTGAGCTCCGCGGGGGAGGGGAGGGGAGGGCCGGGAGGGGCGAAGAGGGGAGGGGAGCCCTGGATGGGTACAGAGCCACTTGGAAATCCAAGATAGAGATGTGGACTCCTGGCCTTGCCCCCATGTGGCCCACAGCATTTATCAAGCACCACCTTCACACTGACCTGAGGGTCCTTGTGTCCCCTCTGAGGTTGAGAGTCCTGGGGAGCATGGGGCTCTGTGCCCGGGGCCTCCTATGCTGGGGCCCATCCCAGGGTCTCCAGGTTGCAGTAGATAGGCAGAGGGTCGAGGTCAGTACCCTTGTAATTCACGTAGAAATCCGTGTCTCCAGAAGGGTTCCTTAGGGGACAGAGGGGGGTCAGGGCCATGACAAGGTCACAAAGGGCTGTGGAGTTTGGAGTTCTCTCTTCCCCTCCCTCCCCCCATCTCTTTCTCTCTTCCTCTTTTTCTTTCTCCTCTTCCCACACACACACACACACACACACACACACACACACACACACACAATCCTTGAACTCTTAAGTAAGTCCAAAGGGTGAGAAGGGCCTATTGGTGCTTGTTTCTTTTGTAGTTGGGGGCGGTCTGGATGAGCTTGCCCCTCATGGGCACAGGTTTGACCACTCAGCACCCAGTGGTGGGCAAATCACTGCTGCACCTCAGAAAAAGCCTGGTTCCTATACCATCAAAACACAAGGGTGGAAAAAGACGTTAAATTTGATCTTCATATGTGGGTGTGGTGCATGTGTGTGCCAGAGGCGCGTGTACATACCCATGTGTGTGCCTGCATAGTGTGTGCGTGTGACTTCACGTGCCTATATTGTGTGTGCGTGAGTGTGTGTGTATGTATGCATATATGACGTGTGTAGGAGTGTATGTGCAAGAAAGTTTGTGGTGCAGATGCCTGCTCACCTCTCCAGCCCAGAACCCACCTTCATGTAGCCCAGGTTAGCCTTGGATTTCCTGCCTCTGCCTCCCAGAGTTGGACTGTGGTGAGGTAGGTAGTGGTGCCCAAGGCATTTCTGGGTGAGCACTCCAGCCTGGCTCGGCCCCTCTGGCTATTTCCTTATTGTCATTTTCCTCAGAGGGCAAAAGAGGCTGTGAGAGGCTCTGGGAGCCCCTTGAGGGTGGGAGGACTCCCAGGGTGGGCATCTCTTCCCACTGGGGTGGTAATTGGTAATAGAGGGACTTAGCCTAGGTTAGTGACCTCCCCCTTCCCTTTCTGCTTTTTCAACATTTGCATCTCATTTACATACCCCTCCTTCTCAGCACAGAGTTACGCTGATCTCAGCTTCCAGCCGCCCTCTCTTCCTTCTTCCTAGCTGGTCCCCATGACCTGGCCCACAAACTTCACCCACTTTTTTCTTTCTTTTTTTCTCTCTATTTGTGAGTTTGGTTTGAGAAAGAGTTTCATGTGGATTCAAGCTTGGGAGGCAGAAGTGTCTCCACCCCACAGAGCTGGGAAGACAGACAGGCAGCACCAGCAGCCCATATCACAGGAAGGTGCAGTTCTCATATCAGGAGGACGAGGACAGCACTCAGTCAGAGCTGCTTTACCCCACTTCACCCCAGCCCTGCCTCTCCTCCTCCTCCTTTCAGAGCTGCGACCTGGATTCACAGGTCACACAGTGAGGAGCTGACCCCTACACACATGGGAGCCTTATCTCAACCCCTGGAGTTGAGGTAGGTCTGCAATCCTCACACAGAGTTGTGAAGCTGCTTGGCCAATGCCACACAGCCTGCATGGGGCCCACTTGAAAAGTTTAGACTGGTGATCTTCCTGCCTCTTACTCCTGAGGGCTGAGATGACAGGCACACACCACCTTCAGCTGAGGCTGAGTAGTCGCCCACTGTGGACAGGTGTCACTCACCTGGGTGCAGCCCGTGAGTGGTCCTCATCCAGTTCACCCATGAAGACATTCTCATAATCCAGTATGGACCTGCCTGGTGGTGTGTCCGGTGACTGGTTGCTATGCCTTGCCCGGAAGTCTGTCACCTGTCTGGGGACACTGTATGAACTCTGGTCTTTGCTGAGGCCTTGGATACTGGCTCCTTGGTGTCGCCGAAGTCTCCAGGCCAGCACAGATCCACTGACAGCCATAGCCAGGAAGATAGTCCCTGCCACAAGGGCACCGATGATCCCTGGGGCCAAGCTGTGGGGACAGCTGAGCTGCAGGAAGGTGGAGAGGTTCCTCAGGGTCCCGGTATCTGGGTGCAGACACAGCAGCTCCTGCTCTCCAGAGCAGTTGTACTGGCGAATATCGTGCCAAGAGGTCAGCCCACAGCTGCAGTCAGCCCTGAGCTCCAAGTCACAACGCAGGGCCAGCAACTGGTCCACAATGGCCAGACGGTTGTGAGTGACAATTAGGGTTTGCAGCTTCCCCAGGTTGGCGAAGAAGGCTCCAGGTAGTGCCTGCAACCCGTTCCTAGACAAGTCAAGGACCTGCACGTGGCTGGCCTGCAGTGGCCGGGTCCTCGGTAGGGACAGGCCAAGGCCAGTGAAATTGAGGCAGGTGTCATTGAATGTCTGGGCCAAGTCCACATCACTTGGGTACACCATGCAGGTGAGGTCTTGACTCCCCAACTCGTGGAGCAGGGCCAACAGAAGCAGGAGACATGACCACAACAACCTGGCCGCGGTGGCCCCCATTTTAGGAACCTGTGTGGAAACACGGGTGTCAGATGGCAACCTCACCCTGTGGTCTCCCCCTCTCTCCCTACCTGGTTTGAATACTGTGGGTTAAAAAAAACTACATTAATAATTCAATCCAGGCTAGAGGAGATGGTGTACACCTTTAATCCCAGCACTTGGCTAGCAGAGTCAGGTAGATCTCTCTGAGTTCGTGGCCAGCTTGGTCTACATAGTGAGACCCTGTCTCAAACCCAAATAAAACACCCTCAAACAACTCAGGCTCATATGACATGGAAGCACATGGGTCCTTGTTGGCCCCTGGTTACATGTTTCTGGTTCCCAAGCCTCCATCTTCTGATCTATGAAATGGATGCATCAGGTAACTGCTGGAAGACTAGACCACCCTCCCACACACCTGCCCCACTTCAGATCATCTGCAACAGTGATCTTGGCCAAGATATGTTATATGCAGATGGGTAGTTGTGGACAACACCCAGCCTGGGGCCTGGCAATATCTTACCTGCAGACCCTGGTACTCTGCAGGGCAGCCTGGGACTGAAGGAGCCCTTTCCTAACCAGCTGCATGAATGCCTGGGTCTCACCTCCTGGTGTTACCTTCTGGACTTTGTGGGATCACAAGCCTTGGGGGCCTAGGGTCTGGGTTGAGATTCACCGAGGTGCCTGGGAGCCACCGATCTGTTGACCTGTCGTTCTCCTCCACCTCTGGGCCCAGCGCCTGGGAGAAGAGGAGCATGTGTTGGAGTGCAGGGGCAGCGTGGAGACCTACTGGGCCTCTCTCTGTAGGCCTCAGGCTCTCTCACAGAGGAGGAGGGGCTGCTGTACCCCACTTCTCTCTTGCTGGAAGCCAGTGACCTCACCCTGTGCTCCTTGGCCCACAGCTTCCCCACCCGCTTCCTGACTTCTGCTTGGCTCTGCAAATATTCACTCAACAAACAATCACTACAAACGGCTCAGTCCTGCGTAGGCACTAGGGGTATCTGGTCATAAGAAAGAACAGCTAGGCAATGACACTGCCATGGAGACAAGACAGGCCCAGAAAAAGGGGCAGGATACCTCAAGGCATACTAGAGGAGGCAGCTTTAAAGTTGGAGCTTCAACATATGGCTAGGAGTTTGCTAAGGTCCTGTGGCCTGAGGAGAAGCTAGCTAGGAAGAAGCTGAAAGGAGGAACTGGCAGTGAGGGCAGGGGACAGAATAGCTGGCCTCTCACAGGTCATAGGGAGGCAGAGGAAGATGGGTCTCTGTGAGTTCAAGTCCAGCCTGGTCTACAGAGCGAGTTCCAGGACAGGCTCCAAAGCTACAGAGGAACCCTGTCTCGAATGCTCCCCACCCCCCCCAAAAAAAAGAAGGAAGGAAAAGAAGAAGTGGATGAGGCAAGGAAGTGGGGTGCAGCTGGTTCTCATTTAGGAGGCTGGGTGTGGTGCAGGCAGGGCCAGACACAAACAGAGATCACAGCTGTCCTCAGCACTTCAGACCTGTAGGGTAGCCCAAGATATCCAAATGCTCCCAGAGACCATTGAAAGCTAGAGATATTGGGAGACTCCCCCAAACCTCTCTAAATGCCAGTGACACACACACAAGACCCCTAGAGATAGTGACAGGTAGACACGGAGCCCTCAGCACCCTTGTCTCCAATGTGACCCTCCACAATTGAGCTCTAATGTTACAAGGCCCCTTGAGTCACTGAGCTGTACCCACATCCGAGCTGTTGTGCTGGGCATGGCCCCAGGGCTCCAGCCTGTGGGGTTAGTTCCCTCTGCTGCCTCTCCCTGCCAGGCTCTCTGAAACCACAGATGGCCCATTTCCCCCACAGCCCTTCCTCTAGAGGTGCCCAGGCCTCAAACCCCAGGCCCTCTTCCTGCTGGCCAAAGGAGCCATAAGGACTCTTTGCAATGGGCACAGTCCATTCTTGTCCACAGGAAGGGGGAGGGCTACTGGCCAAACAATGACCTCAGTAAGTGACAGGTGATGTGGAAGGTGGCCAGGGACACCAAGATCCCAGTGGCCAGGTTGAAACTGACAAGCAAACACTGGCTGTCCCCACCTATGGGGTACTCTCCCGCCTGTGGGGCTTGTAAACCCAGTTCCTGGTTTCCAAAGAGTTTAGAGGTAAAGGACTCTGAACTGTGATCTTTATCTGTTCAGCCAGTGTAGCTTAGATTGCCTCAGAACTGTCATCCTCCTGCCTCTGCCTCCCCAGCGTTGGGGTAGGAGCAGGGCTTGTGCTGGCACTCATGATGGTATTTTGTACAGGGCAAGAGGAGCTCATGTTCATGGATAACCACTAGGGAAACCAGCAACGTGAGCAGCAGGGCTGTCTCTCCCAGGAGAAGGAGGAAGGCATTCCTGTTCCCATCCAGGAAGCTGGGGATGGAGGTGGTTACTGTCCCGGATGTGCTATCTGCAGAGTGCTCACTCAAGATTCTACAGACCTTTATGTTGATCTCAGTCATTCTCCCTACACAGAAGGGATTCTATGCTGTAAACAGTCTCAATGTAAACAAGGCTTAAGTGTAGGGCCCTGCATGGACCCCCGAGGCACCTTCAGCAAGCCTGAAGCTGTTTGCTGGAACTCCTTGTCCCGAAGCTGTTGTTGGTACTCTTCCCATTTTGATAACACACACCTGGTGACAACACACACCTCGTGGGGAGGAGCCACGCCTAAAAATCCTGTTATTTTCCACTGTGCTGTAAATCAGTATTTAAGCCTGTTCCATCCCCTCAATAAACGGCATTCAGTGTTTGGCATTCTGACATTGCCATTGAACGAATGACCCCCTGTCTTGTCTCTTTATTTCAATCTCTAGGCCTTTGCCCAATTCGTGGAACAGATCTTAAGCACGGGCGATACACTTAAGCTTTGCTATACTCACAGGTTACTGTCAATCAGCTTCAGGACACTTTACCCAAAACTGTGCTGTGCTTCAATATGGCTACAGTCAACAGCCAGGGGTTGGACTCCAGAAAATGGTTTCTGAGTCCTGTTTAACAGAGTTTCCTCTGCAGGCCCTGGCAACTGCAGACAACCCACAGAATTATAGAAGCCACTTGTAGGGAAAATAGGCATGACCACAGCCAGGGTGGCTAATGTAGTGCAACAGTAAACTACATTTCTACATGGGAGTCCATGGGAACCTCTGGTTCAGATGATTTTGGAAACAGCTCTGAACCACAAGAACATGGCCACACTCATGACTGTGGATCTAGGACCTTCTCTCTGGCCCACACTTGGCAGCCCAGCCTGGGCTACACAGGAGACTGGGATCCCCCACTGAGGGTGTAGGCCTTGCCTACAATCTTGGAGACAGTTATAATATTATGTCCATTTCACAGATATGCAAAAATGTTGTGGAATATATTTGTTTAACTATGTAAAGATGTGTTGCTTTGCCTGCCTAAGGCACATGATTGGTCTAATAAAAAGTTGAACGGCCAATAGCTGGGCAGAGGAGGGATAGGGAGGGCTGGTATGCAGATAGGAAGCAGGAAAGCAGGATAAGGTAAATGAGCTTCAGTGCAGAATATATATCAATAAAAGTGGGTTACTGTAAGAAAAAAAAAACTAGATAGAAACAAACCTAAACTAAGGCTGAACATTCATATTTAGTAAGTCTCTGCACCATGGTTTTGGGCTGCAAGTCCAAGAAAGCCTGCTGCAGAAACTGAGGCCCCAGGTTGCTTGACTGGTTTCTTAACTTCTGTAAGTAAATGGAAGATCTGACAGCATTTGAGTGGACACTGTGAAACTGCCTGATTCATGGAGTACTGTTTGTGGGGATCCAGGAGATTGTAAAGTGTTTCTGTGCTCCGCAAGTAAGGCCTTTTATTTACAGACTTTCCTGGCCCTCAGCCCTTTCAAAAAAGAATTTTTTTTCAAGGCAGGGTTTCTCTGTAGCTTTGGAGCCTATCTTGGAACTTGCTCTATAGACCAGACTGGACTCGAACTCACAGAGATCCGCCTGCCTCTGCCTCCTGAGTGCTAGGATTAAAGGCGTGCACCACCAATGGCTGGCTTAAAAAGATTTTTAAAATTTATGTATGAGAGTATGAGTGAGTGTGTGAGCTCGTGAGTGAGTGTGTGAGGGTGAGTGTGTAGGTGCATAGTTAAGTGTGTGGATTTGTGTGTGAGCACATGTGTAAGTCCCAGGAAGCCCTGAAGAGTGATTCCAATCTCCTAGTGCCAGAGTATATGGCCATCATAAGCTATTGGAGGCTGGAAAGAGAACATGGTTCCTCTCAAGGTCAGTAACCCCCTTTAATGGCTGAACCATCTCTCCAGCCACACACAGATCCTGAGATCCTCAGGGTTAGTGGATTTTAGAGCCCTGTTTGTACAATACAGAAGGATTTACCTGTCAGTTACACACAGGAGGCTATGACTCATTATTTAGACGCTACCATAGCTTAGAATAATTAGACTACAAATCTGCAGAATTCCAACCCTGCAATCATTGACATTCTAACCAGTCAGCAGAATGTGGGGTGTAGGTGCCAGCTCCCCAACTTTAGTTAACAGATGTGAAGTGTGTAATGCTGGCAGTGGAATCCAGGGTCTGGTGCATGCTGGGCAAGCAGTTTACCTAAGCCATGCCCTCAGCCCTAGATTTCGAATGTTTAGAAAGAACTAACATTTATTGAGCATCTACTGGATACAGAAAATCTCCACCACTGGGATGCGGTTATTGCAATGCTAGTCAAACAGCTAATTTTTTACTTTATGTGTATTGGTGTTTTGCTTGTATGTAAGTCCATTTGAAACTGCCAGATCCTCTGGAACTGGAATTACACACAGGGAAGAACCAGCCTGCCGCCATCTTGACCTTCAAAGTCAGTCATCTTAAAGACAAACTAGATTCGTTCCAGTTTATAGTTAAATCTGTTTCTCAAGGATTGGGCTATGCCCCACCTGTAACACCTGTAACAAATGGTTCTGCACTGCCTGTTCTCAGAATGGCAATCATGTCTTTGTTTCAAAAAGTTGCTTATAACCATCCTGCAAGCTCCCTTTGTTTGGTTATAACCACCTGTTACCTTGTAACCACGTCTTTGTTTCAGGAGGGACTAACTTTTTATGTTCTCCTGTAACCCCACCTGTTTCCCCATCTAGAACATCCCCCACCCGGCCCACCAGCTGTTCCACACATCCAGTGCTCACCTCTTGAAATCTGCCTTAGGGGAGGTATCTGTTATAGAAGATTCATCCCAACCCCTGGCATCCATAGACCCAAAGAGTCTGGAATGTTATGGTGGAAGTTCTACCCAAGCCCCCCTCCCCTATCTCCATCCAAACCCTGCTGCATCTCAGAAAACCTGCCAAATGATGACCCCTCCCCTAGAGATGCTCAAGACCACTCCCACAGGGTATTTAAACCGCCCCCCCCAAAAAATAGACGTGATTTTTCAGGTCTTTATTTCTCCTCTCCTTTTGGGGGGCTGGAAGGACACTCGAGAACATTGTATTTATTAAACGTGTTTTTTTTTTTTTCTAATTCAGTTTGATCTGGTCTGATTTGGATTGCTGCTGCATTGGCAGAGAGGCAAAAATTATGCTCTAAGTAATTGCTTGCTTTAATTAATTTGGCCATGATATGATTGATGATCTGGGTTAGTGGTCTTTCTCCTCCCATCTTTGGGACTAATAGCAATTGTGAGCGATCTTGTCGGTGCTGGTAATGGAGCCTGGGTTCTTTGGAAGAGCAGCCAACACTCTTAACCACTTAACCATCTCTCCAGCCCCTAGAAAAAAAGCCAATTAAGCCAGGTTGGTGTCACTGGCCTGTGCCCTCTGCCCTCTGTGGCTGAGATGGGAAACTGTCTCAGAGTTTCCCTTAAATATCTATTTGGACGCTCACGTGGACGCATGCGCCAGGGCAAAGGTCCCTTTGGCTGCGGCTTCTTTCTCTGCTGCCATCGCGTGGCCGCATGTGGAACCACAGCCCATGGCTGTTTTGAGGGAGCAGGAAATCCGACAGCCTTGAGGAAATCCAGGATAGAAGCGGTTCTGGTTAGTCGGCTCAGCAAATACTTATAGAGTGTTTCCCATACGAAATGAGAGGATGTGAAGGGGGCATGCATTGTCAACATAAATGAGTATCCAGTCTCTGGTCCCTGCTGTGCATCCTCAGTCAGGTTGCTTTGTCACTCATCCCACTCTTTCCTCCACAGAACAGATTGTACCAACGCCTTTTGGGAGACTCAGCCGAAGAATGAAGCCCTGTGCTTGGAGCCGAGGTCAGGTGGAATGGACGACGGGGTTCCGTCCTAGGCGAAAACAGCACACACCAGAAGTTGTCTCCCTGTCTTGCAGTAGTCCAGGATTGGTGTGTCTCAGAAGTCCTCACGAGCAGGGCGGAGGCAGGAGGTGGGAAGCACAGGAGAACTCTGCCCGCTGTGCTGCGGTCTGGCGAGGGCGACCACTTGGCATTCCCGCTTCCTCCCCTGGCCCCGTGACTCAGAGAGGGAAGAAGGGTCGCTGGGCACTTGAACAGGGCCACATCGCGGCACACACAGGCTTCTGTCCCCAATACTTCGACTTTCGGAACCTTGGACCCTTAGAGGCTGAGCTCAGAACTGGTCGGCCCAGGACCCTATCTTCCCTTCACCCCAGGCCAAGGCCCCCAGTGCAACCCGAGCTCGCCGCGTGCACCAGCTGCGGCTGCTCCCTTCCCGGTGGTGTTTGGGTTTTAAATTTTGTGTTGCACTTAGAAAATTACCCTTAATTACAGCTGCGGAGAGAAAAGTCTCCAAGAACAGCAGCGCTCCAGCTGTGTCGCCTCCTACGCACAGCTGGGTGGGGCTGCAGGTGCGAGTCCAAGCCGTTCCGCTCGCGCGCTGTGGCCCCCGGCGGGGAGGTGCACCAGTGTCACTTATGGTGACAAGCAAGGCGTTTGGAGAAATCTAGAAGGGGCAGGAAAGGCCTGGGACACAGGACAGAGGAGGGAGACAGGAAAGAGAGGAGAGGGAGGAGCAGCAGCCCTGCAGTGCCGATGCCCGCCACACGGGGACGCGGCGGCTCTTCTAGTGGACAGGGCCGTCGCGGGCTGGAGGTTCAAGGGAAGAAACAAGATTTATCCTCCTGGGTCTTCTGTGAGCCAGGATTGGAGGCCAGGTCCTCTGCGTGCTTTGGGGATCAGGCTCCAGTTTGCAGAGTCTGGCCGGCTTGGCGAAGCAGGCCATCTGGTCCCTACCACACCCTAGAGAAAGGGGAGCAGGCTTCAAACGCCTCCCGCCCGTCGCCTGATCACCGTACTTGTGGGAATATCTTTCATTTATTTGAGTATACTAGGCTGGAGAGATGGCTCAGCCATTAAAGGCTAGGCTCACAACCAAAAATGTTTTACTATATTTACTTATTGTGTCTATGTGTGTGACTACACGTGCCACTGTGCCATCGTGTGTAAATCACATTGCACCATATGGGTTTTGGGGGTTGAACTCAGGTCATCAAGCTTGGTGATAAGTGCCTTTACCGACTGCGCTATCTCGCCTGCCCAAGGGAATAGTTTTGAGCCCAGCCTCTCAGGGTGGCTCTTGAAATAAATCTCATCCACTCCTACAGCCAGCGGGCATGCTCTCTGCCCTGACCCCTGCTCTGCTGCCTCCAGCACACCAGGGCCTTTGCACTGGTTGTGACCTTTGAGGACTCCTTCCCTGTGCTTCAGTGCCATCCCTCTCCCTCACATGGATAAGCCCAAACTGGGAGTCCAGCTAACTCAGGTCTCCGACTCTCAGCTGTGTTTGGGAGCGCCTCGGTTGCTATGACGACGGTGCAGTCGCTCCCGCCCGCAGAGCCTCCCTCAGCAGCCTGCAGGGCTGAGGGCGCCCCCCCCCCGCCCCGCCCCTCCCTCCTCCCTGTGTCCGCCCCCACCCTCCGGGAGCTTCGCCGACCTTGCCGCCGCCCTGTTAGTGTTGCCAGTTTTCCGCGGTGGGTTCTCTGCTCCAGGAGTCGTAGCAAAGTGTCCCCACTGGGTCCCCAGAGCCCGGTAGATAGCAGGCGCTCAAAAAATAGCTCCGGGGGGTGGGTGAAGACACTTAATCAAAGATCTATGGCTAAGGGAGGGGAAACAGGGTGTCCTGGGCAGCGCTGGACCTTGGGGGCACAGATTGGAAGGGATCTCGGTGCTGCGTGCTATGTAAGCATCCCGGGTCCACTGGCACCTTCTCTGTAATTCGCCAAGAGCAGAAGCTCCAAGAGCTGCTGTCCTCGGTGGCCCAGGACCCCCGACGGCCTTTCAGACAACAAGCGGTCGCCAGTCCCACAGCAGGGAGAGGAAACTGGGGGAGGGGGCGGCTGGCCAGGCAGGAAATGGGAAAGGCCTGTGTCCGCCCCCCTGAGCCCTGGGGGGAGGAGGCGTGGCAGCTTTTCCTGCCAGCCTGTAAGCTCTGCGTCTTGGCTTTTCGAGCTCCGTTCGCCGGCCAGGGGGGAGGCAGAGGGGCCTGGGCAAGGGGATCTGTCTGCACCCAGGATACTACGCGCGACTCAAGGCCGCGGTAACCTGCAGGCTGTCTCTCACACTCGTAACACAGGCAATCTGTGCCCACGACTGCGCCACACAAGATTCCGGGAGGATAAAGACCTACTTATGTCTGCCACCCCTCCAAAACAACAAACAAACAAAAACGTCGCTGCCCAAACAGGGACACTTGCAAGGACATCGAACATTCGCCTGCACGTCTTCCTGACTCCCATGAGCCACGACCACACGTGCGCTCATTCCTGTTATGTACGTGCGTGTGCGCGCAGGGAGGGGGGAAGCACGCTGTCAGCTCGGCGAGTACGCCTGTCACCCCAGTACTCCAGAGGTAAAAGCAGTTGGAGGACAGCCTGAGCTACATGAAACATTGTTTTGTTTCGATCCACTTTTGAGACAGGGTCTCACTATATATCCTTTTGTCTTGGAACTCGCTATGGAGACCAGGCTGGCCTCTAACTCAGGGGTCTGCCTGCCTCGAGTGAAGACAGAAAAACAAAATGTGCTTGGACTGGGGCTCAGCTGGTCCAGAGCTGGCACGCACAAAACCCTGGGTTCCATCCATAGCACTACACCCGGGCAAGGCACCAGGGAGGCTGAGGCAGGATCACAAATTCAAGGTCATCCTCATGTGCTTAATGAGTTCGAGCCTTGACTACATCAAATCCTCAAAAGAAAAGATGGAACTCCTCACAGAGGGCTAGCGCTGCATGTGGGCTCACAGAATGTCGTGGGCGCTACACTTTGAGGTCAGGAGAGCAGTGCATGTCTGGAGTTGAAGCGGAGATACCCACAACCCCGGGAGTCTGGGAGTCTACCTCCGCAGCTGAGGTGGGCCTGGAACTCGCAGTCTTCTTTCTGCCTCAGCTTCTCGATTTGCAAGGCAGCGGCTAGAGCGTGTCACTCGCGTGGGCATCTCAGCGAGAGATACGGTAGCCGGGGCTAAGTCGCAGGCAGCCTGCTGGTGGGCAGTGCCGCGCTCGCGGGCTCTGCGCGTGCGTGCTCCCAGAGCGGGCCCCACCCGTGCTCTCGCCGTTACTGCTTTAAGAGCAGCGGGAGCGCGCGGCGGCGGTGGCGCGCTTCCCGGAACAGCCCACGGAGAACAGCGCGGCTAGAACCCACCCGCGGCCACAGCTCCCGCGCGGACATGGCCGCGGGGCCCGGGGCGCGGGCGGCGATGGCTCTGCGCGCCTGATAGTGCGGAGCATGTACGGCAAGGCGGGCAAGGGCTGCGCGCCCTCGGACGGCCAGGCGCGGGAGAAGTGAGTGCGCAACGCGGGGGCTACGCAGGACCGGGGGCCGTGGGGTCACGTGGGACTAGAAGGGTGCGGAATTTCAGGGGGACACGCGAGATCCGGAGGACTCGTGGTATTACCGGAGATCAGAATGGAGAGCGATTTCAGGGGCACACACGAGGTCAAGGGGCTCGTGGGATCACGCGAGACCTCAAGGATGTGTGATTGTGGACATGCGAGACCTGTTGGGGACACGGGAGACACAAAGGACAGACTATATTGGGTGCACTAGAGTTCAGGGGCTCTGGGCCGCGTGAGATATAGAGGACATGAGATTGTATTGTAGCTTGGGAAATCCAAGGGAGCCTGGGGGCCTCAGGACACTTGAGGGTACCGGAGGTCAAGGGGTCAGAGAAGACCCCAGGGGATGCTGGGGCTACATGGATGGGGTTCGGGATCAGAGGACTATGTGTTCTAAGGAGACTGTGGATGTGAGCAATCACAGGGCAGGCACACAGCATCACAGGGGTGCAAGACCTCGATGTTTCTGGGATCACACAGACCTGACAGGTGTGAGCATTAGGGTCGGGCTGTCTGGGGCTCATGGAAAGCTGCAGGTTTTAGGACAGGAATTCCATGTATGCAAGCCCAAAACTGGAGATTTGAATTGGGACACATTGTGGCTGAAGATTTGAGGAGGTTGAGGGAGGTGAGGTGTTCGGGCCCTGAGGTTGTGAGATTTGTAAGGGCACATCTGACCCCTCCACTGTCGCTTGTGGGCATAGGTGGGACACAAGGGCAGAAGGGAAGCTGCAGCCTAGGGCTGGTGTCGTGGGTTACCACCCAGTGGCCTTGTGTGGCCTAGAGTGGTTCTGATCTTACGCCTGTTGGAGATACAGGATGAATGGCCCAGGTGGACCAGCTTCTAGTACCACCTGAGCTGGCCTTCTTTACCTGGGGGCCTATGCAGGGGAGTGGATGAAGATGTTAAGGTTTTGCGTGCTCTGGGCGCTCAGCACTCACATTTGAGGTGTGATGTGTCCTTCCTGGGAACTGGCTGGCCCCTCAGGCTACCTTGTGTTGTGGTTGGTCCGGCCTCATTTGTGGTCAGTAAACTCAATGGCCCATCCTTGCATTGAGTTGCTGCCCATGTGGGAAGCAGGGGCTGTCTGTCTGGGTCACCTGGTAGGTCCTCAGCCTGAAGAATCTTAGCTCACATAGAGTCCTATGCTAAGTTGGGGCATGGGTGGGGACCTGACAGCCTGGGGCCTGTGTGAGAGGCCAGAAAGCACCGGCCTACTTATCCCACAAGGGTAGGTTGGGAGAAGAGTAGAGGGGCAGAGGGAAAGAGGGTATAGTGGCAGGCTCACTGCACAGGCCCTGTGGTGGGGTAGGAAGGGAGTGTGGCTGGGTCGAGTGTTGGCAGAAGTCCTGAGTTTGAGTGTGGATAGAGGCTTGTGTTTTTGAAAGTGTGTGCTGGAGGCTGAGGCAGGAGGATCTCCCACCGAAGTCCAGCTACATAGCAAAGTCTTCTGAAAAAAAAAAAAAAAAAAAAAAAAAAAAACAGTGCATCTGGGCTGTGGGGCTCACAAAGAACAGGAAAGAGGCCAACCATTCTTGGAACCACTGAAGCCAAAGCCGGGCAACAGTGGTGGGCAGGAGGCCTGCGTGGGAGCTGGTCCTGGTGACCCTGTGACCCAGGCCTCTTCTCGGATGTTGCTGGGGTCCTCACAGAGAGGGTAGGCAGGCGCCCTGCCTTGGCCCCCTTGCTGCACTGTTTGGCTGGCCCTTCTGGGTCAAGACTTCCAGCTCCAGTCTCTCAGTGACTGGATGGCCCAGCCCTCATTTCTCTCTTCTGAGAAGTGGGGTGAGTGTTCACTGTCTCTACTCTGCACTCCATCCACATCCCAGGCCTGCTTGTACCCTGTCCTTGGGCAGCCAGCTCTAGGGGTCAGGGTACCACCATCTGCTAGGTAGAGACCCTGCATGTGAGTGTTGAGGGTAAGTCTGCGGTCTCAGTGGACCTTGTGTTATTTGGAGTGTGAGGGCATCAGCCATAGGCACGTGTCCATCTTGTGCTATCCAGCAGGTGAGGTGGCTTCTCTGAACAGCCTTCAAGATGACATAGGACAGCTACCTTCCCCTTGACACAGGTGACAAGATGCTGTTTAAGACCCACACATCTAGGGAGGAAGGCCTGAGAGTAACAGGGTCACTAGAAGACCTTGGCAGGACCTGGTGACAGGTTAGATGATTAGCCTGCCTGGTGCTGGTAGGGGTGGCCTTTACAGTGATTCCCCATGATTCTGGTGGCAGTGGCAGTGGTGTTTTGGACACTGGGAGCCAGCTAACATGAACTGTCCACACTCCATAGTCTGGGCTCCAAGCCACTCAACACTTCTAGCAAGAAGGGTGCTGAGCTTGTCCTGTTTTGTTAGTCCCTCTGTCTGCTTACTTTCTGCAACAGGGTAATTGGGGGGAATCTGAGGAGCTGGGCTAATCCAGGACAGTGAGCCAGTAGGTGGGGGTCTCAGGACCTATGTCTGTGCCCCCCCAAACTATCAGAGACAATAGGGTGAGTGGGCCATAGGGCAGAATTGGGTACTGCAGGAACACCTCAGATCATTGTTGCTGGAGTCAGGAGGCACAGCCTAGGCAAAGGCCCTGGGGCTGGAGTTTGCTACAGTGCAGGGCCTGGAGCAAGCAGTCGCAGGGGAGGAGAACAGATCTGAGATATGATGGGAGAGGGGACAGTTGAGCACACTTGAGACCTGGCCTTGCTGTGTCCCTCTGGCTATCTGTCTCAACCTCCTTAGTGGTTGTGCTAGCCTTATGATTGGGATGCTTGCTCACTCTGACACCCAATCCCTGAGGCCTCCTTTGGATGTGGGGAAGCTGCTAAGAAGCAGAGGGAAGGGGAAGGCAGGAGGCTCTGAGGGCTCCAGAAGATGTACAGGCTGTGGCAAGAAAGATGGAGAATGATGTCACAGGAGTTAAGAGGTGACATCTGGGCATCACCGAGTTGTCTGCTCAGCCCTCATCCCTGTCAGGGTTCAGCTCCATCTCTGACCACACAATAGGATGCTCTGGGATCCACAGCTCCTTCTTGGCTATCAAGAGGGGGACAGGGTTGGGACGCCACCCTGGTCATGCTGCCATCCCACACAGCTCACATGGTACAGGTGACAATCACAGATCTCAATCCTTTGTGGTCGGCTTGTGTGCATCTGAGAGAACAACATAGGCCCCAGGAGGATGGTCGTGTGCCACTGCACAAGGAGGGCAAACCAACGGACAGATGATTGGACAAATGGATGGGGGAATGGATGAAAGGGTAGGCAGGTGGACACGTGAGCAGATAGATGGACAGATAAGTAAATAGATGAATGGCTGAATGAATGAGTAGGTGATGGACAGGCAGGTATATGAATTAATGGACAGATGGATGGGAGGCTAAAAAATGATGAAGGGTATTAAGGTGCAACGTCCTGAGTGTGCCCTGGGGCAGAAATGAAATGGTGGGAGGCACTCAAGGATGTGCGGGTGCAGAGAAGGCCGAGGAACACAGGGCCTGAGTCAAAGGTAGATTATTTCAGGGTGAGGCCCTCAGCCAGGTAGAGTGGGGTGAGGAGGGCTGCAGGAGACCCTTGGAGCCCTGTGGGTCTGCTTCTCCAGCCTCCAGCCTGTCCCTTTATCCTCATGCACCTGTGGGGCTAGTGAGGCAGTGGTGTCTCCCAGAGGACATACGTGTGAGCTAGAAGGACTAGTGCCCAGCAAGTGGGTGACACACTTGGGCATAGGAGCTGCCGTGGAAGGAAGGGTGGGTGGGATGGCCTAGCCCACTATGGTTGCCCATGGAGAACGAGTCTCAGCAGGCAGGCTGCAGTCTCTGCAGGGTTATCTGCCTCCTCACTCCCCAGAGGCACCATTACTGTCTTCTTGCGTACAGGAAAGAAAGGTTATGGTTACCACTGGATAGATACTAAGGACGAAGATGGGGCCCTTGGGAGAGACCTTTAGGTGGGTTGTTGGTGAATGCATAGGAGTTGGCTGCCAGTAAGTTGAAGAGGCTGTTGTCTGTGATTGGTGGAACTGAGGCTCTAGTATGGGCAGTGAACAAGCTTTGTGGGTTAAATGAAGCATCGACTGGGTAGCCTGCTCATGGCCTTGTGTTGTGCTGGGCCCATGGGTGCCCCTCTGCTGAGCAGCCTGAAATGTTTACCAACTGCCTGTAGGCTTGCGCTGTATGTGTATGAGTACCTGCTGCACGTGGGGGCCCAGAAGTCAGCACAGACCTTCCTGTCTGAGGTGAGTAAGCATCCGTCCCCTCCCCTGGGATGCCCAGGCTGGCCTGCATTGTCAGACTTGTGTTGTCCCTGGTAGGGTTGGCAGATTCCTCCTGGATACCTGCCCTCACTCACCCTCTTCCCCATAGATACGCTGGGAAAAGAACATCACATTGGGCGAGCCTCCTGGTTTCCTGCACGCCTGGTGGTGGTATGTGCATGTGTGAGAGCAGACAGAGGGAAGCGGGAACTTGGGGGGTATATCGGGTCACCTCGTTACCTCTGCCCCCAGTGTCTTCTGGGACCTTTACTGTGCAGCACCAGACCGCAGAGAGGCTTGTGAACACGCCACTGAGACCAAAGTCTTCCAGGACTATGTAAGTGTCCAGGGTTCTGCAATCTGGATCACTTGTTTGTGTTTGTTCGTTTCTTTGTGTAGCCCTGGCTGTCCTGGAACTTGTTCTGTAGACCAGTCTGGCCTTGAACTCATATAGATCCACCTGCCTCTGTCTCCCTTGTGCTGTGATTAAAGGTGTGTGTCACCACACCCCTCTTTATTATTTTTAAAAAATACTTTTTATGTGTGTGAGTGTTTTGCCTGCAAGTCTGTCTGTGCACCATGTGCATGTCTGGTGCCTGTGGAGGCCAGAAGAGGGCGTCAGATCCCTTGGAACTGGAGTTTCAGATGATTGTGAGCCTCCATGTGGGTGCTGGGAATTGAACCTGGGGCCTCTGTGAGAGCAGCCAGTCTCTTTCTTAACTGCTGAGCTGCCTCTTCAGCCTCCTTGAAGTTTCTGTTTGTTTTTTGTTTCATACAGGGTCTCACTAAGTTCTGTTATCCTGGAACTCCTATGTAGCCCAGGCTGGCTTCGAACTGCAGACATCCCCCCGCCTCCGGGGGGGGGGGTAAAGGCCAACTCCCTGGCCTCAGTTTCCCTTTGGCACAGTAGGCGGTGTCTGCCTCCGCCCCGCAGTCCCTAGGCGCCGGTTGCTATGGCAGCGTGGGCGTCGAAGGGCGGGGCCAGAGCAGACTGGTCCTAGGCGCACCAGGGCAGCTGAGGCCTTGGCGTGTCCTGGAAACCGATATTGCGCGGCTGCCTGTTGTCATGGTAACGCCGCCGCCGATGGTGGCAGAGGCAGTGTTGCTACCGCTATGGGATGATTGACAGGGGCAGGAAGGGGGGGGTCCTTCTCATGCTGCCCTCCCGCAGTGCCCAGCTGGTCTGCACGGAGGGACCTGGCATTCGGGATTGGGGGACAAGCTAGGCATGAGGGGCTTTGGCCATGACAACTCCTAAATTACTGGGATTACAATGATTTCCCGGGTTCCTTGCAAGTGTGCTTTTACTGTGGGCTACTGTCATTTATTCCCCGGGGCTAGCCTAGAGTGCTTGCAGCAACCTCCCAGCAGCCGGAACAGGTCACCCGGGACCTGGCCCTGAGCTATGGAGGGACTGTCCCCATTCCAGAAATCACACCAGAAGCTTTTCTGTGCTAGCCAGCACAGCCTCAGGGACACATGTCCTCCATCTGGGAAGACTGTGAGAAGAGAGGGTCAAACAGAAAGGGCCATCCTGAGGTCAGCCCTTCCAGACTTTGGGCTCTCAGTCCTCCCGTTTCCTGCCTGTTGGTCACCATAACTGGAGCAGGCGGTGGAAGTGGACGGTCAGCCTGGGCCATTCAAGCCTGGCCCTTGTCTGTCTGAGAGTTAGGGCTGGGGACCCTACCCAGAGTACTGGTCCTTTCTCCTGGAAGGATGGGTGGATGAGGAAGGAAGGGGCCCTAGGGGCAAGGACTGGCTGCATACATTTGGGGGTGTGGGTCAGCATAACAACAGGTCAGGTGGGATGAACGGAAAGCACAGAAGTCTGGGGGTGTGGCTACTCCACTTCAGCTCCTTTCTCTGGTCCTAATTGATGTCCCAGCTTAACCACATGATGCCATCCCCAGGCTGTCTGCACAGATGAGGGTAAATCCTGTTCAGAAAGCCACCTGTTGTGGCTCTCATGCTATCCTCTGGTGTTTCATATCCTTGCAGAGTACCACAGCCCCTACCCCTGTGATGGGAGCCATGGCCCCTAATGATGCAATGGGGGCAGGTCCTATGGCAGCAGGCTTCTTTCAGGTATGGCTGCCTGGGGCCTCCTTTGTCCTCACAGTTGAGATGGGGGTGAGGTGCAGGCTAGAATTCAGTGGAAGGTCTGTCTCCACAGTGGGTGTGAACATGTGTGCCGCTAGTGACAGGCATGGGTATGTGTTCTCAGTACTGGTGGCTGATGGTCCCGCAGCCCTATTCATCTGCTGCATGAAGGCTGTGCCACCATCCCCTCCACTCAGGTTCAGTAGCTTTCCTACCCACCCTCAAGATGTGTAGCTGTTCCTCAGAGCCCCAGTCAGTTAGGGCCCTCACACACCACTGCCTTGCACTGCTCCCTCTCACAGCTCTACCAGCTGACTGTGGTCTGCAATCTGGCTCTGAGGCAGGGGACTAACTAGCAAAGGTGGAGGTCCCAGCCTCCGCCCCGCCCCCCCCCCAGGCATGGTAAGAACAGGGTTTCTTTAGAGGAAGTTCAATATGGAGATTGCTGACCCCCCCCAATCTTCCAGCCCTTCATGTCACCACGATTCCCAGGGGGTGCCCGGCCCACCGTAAGGATGCCGAGCCAGGTGAGAGAGGGCAGGAGGGGGGGGGAGAAGCTGGGATGGGAGTGTCTCCTTCAACTCAGTAGCTTGCCCCCCTCTATAGCCTCCTGTGGGCCTCCCTGGCTCCCAGCCCCTCATCCCCAGTGCCATGGATCCCTCCCCACGCTCACTGGGTGAGTAACAGACACTCCAGCTGCTGTTTCATGGGATTCATACCTACTTGAAGGCCCCATTTGAATGTGGTGTCCATGCCTGGGAATGCCCAAGCCTGAGCCCTCTTCCTTATCTCTGCCCAGGGCACCCCAGCCTGGGAGGCCCGATGCAGAGGGTGACACCTCCGAGGGGCATGGCCAGTGTTGGGTCCCAGGTAAGGGGTGGCCCAACCCATTGTGGGACAGAAAGACCACACCCTAGGTTCTTTCTGACTAATCCTTTGCCTCAACAGGGTTATGGAGCTGCCATGAGGCTCCCACCCAATTCCCTTGCCACCAACCAGGTCCTGCCATCCATGAACATGTAAGGCGCTAGGGAACCCTTAGGCTTGTGGTCACCCAGCCTAGAGGCAGGCCATATATTCAGGGACAACTTGGGCATCGTTTATTCCACTGTCTGGAGGGGAAACTGAGGCCAAAAGTTTCACTTAGCCCCAGGGAATGACGGGTTGCTGGGCCCTGGGCACCTGGGCTGCTGCAGCGCCCCCATCTCTTCCAGGGGTCCGGGGGTGCGTGGCCCGTGGGCCAGTCCCAGCGGTAACTCGGTGAGTGGCAGGCAGGGTGAGCTGGGGAAGGAGGGCTCGGGCTAGCTGCTGGCCACTGAGGCTCACAATTGTCCCTGCCTGTTCTCAGATCCCCTTTGCTTCCTCATCTCCTGGCAGCTACACGGTGAGTTCCTGAAGGTGTGGGACCTGCAGGGTGCAGGCCGGACAAGCCATGTCTCACAGATCCCATGTCTCCATGTAGGGACCCGCAGGAGGCGGCGGCGCCCCGGGAACACCCATCATGCCCAGTCCTGGAGGTAAAGGGCATGTGTGTTAGGGTGGGCCAGGATCCCCACTCCATGCACCCACCCACACAGCTCCTGCCGTTCCCTGCCAGATTCCACCAACTCCAGTGAGAACATGTATACCATCATGAACCCCATCGGGCCGGGCGCCGGCAGGGCTAACGTGAGTGGGGCCCGGTGCGCCTCACCTGACGGGGACCCCGCGGGGAGGCAGCCAGCCTGAGCCCCACGCTGCCCTGTGCCCGCAGTTCCCGCTTGGCCCCGGCACAGAGGGCCCAATGGCCTCTATGGGCGCCATGGAGACGCACCACGTGAACGGATCCCTGGGTGAGTGGCCGGGCGCCATCTAGCGGCTTCATCGGCGGGCACCGTGACCCCACCCCAACCCCCCGCAGGCACCGGAACAAGAGGGTCCCTGGTCGTCGTCCGCTAGAGCTAGACTCGCTAGTGCCTTAACCTCCACACCACGGGAGGGGTGGCTCAGAGAAACCCTTGACCCCAAGCTCTTGGGTGGTCCCTGGATGCAGTGCCTGCACCCTCCATCGCCTCCAGATTGTGGGAACCCCGGGGTACCCCATCCCTGGGTTCCATATCAGCGCCTGAGCCTCTTGTCTGCCCGCAGGCTCGGGCGATATGGACAGGGTGCCGAAGGTGAGGTCGTGCACGCTGGGTGGGTGGGGGCAGGTGGCCTGGGGCAGGGGACCCACGTGCTGACAGGCGCTGCCCCCAGAACTCCCCCGGCGCAGTGGGCGGCCTGAGCAACCCCCCGGGGACCCCGCGCGACGATGGCGAGATGGCGGCTGGCGGGACCTTCCTGCATTCGTTCCCGAGTGAAAGCGTAAGCGCCTGCGTCGACTCCCCACCCGCGGCCGCGGCTGGCCGGAAGGGCCTGGCGGGCAGATCCCGGCGGGGCGGCCGCGGGGCCAGAGCAAGACCATGACCGCGGCGGGCCAGGTGGGGGGGGCGGCCGCGGTACCTTCCCCTCCTTCCCACCCTCCCCTGGGTTCCCCCTTGTCCCCGGGAGGGCGGGCCCCAGCCTTGGCCAGAGCTGAGCAGTGCCCTGCGGGCCGCCCTCTCTCTCCGCAGTACTCCCCTGGCATGACCATGAGCGTGTGACAGCCCTGTCTTGCACCCAGTGTTCGGGTCGCGCTCCTGCCACCAGGACTCCTGCCCAGCCCAGATGGCCGGCAGGTCCCCCACGAAGGACTTCATTTTTCTACACACACACACACACACACACACACACACACACACACAGAGGCACACATGCAAGGACCTCAGACGGAGGAATTCATTGAACTTCATTTTTCTACACACATGCACACACACACAGAGACAGGCACATATGCAAGGACCTCAGAGAAGTGCGGACCTTTGAACCTGTGTGCTGTTGCAGGGCTTGCAGGGCAGGGTACTGCCAATAAACACCATTTGGTTGTCTTTTTGGTACCACTGGTGTCCCTAATTTGACTTGTAGCCATGGATGAGATGGGTGGGTGAAGCTTGTGTTGACCAAGCGGGGTGTGGGGGTGTGAGGGGTGTGTGGGGTGTAGTGGAAGAGGCAGGGGCCAGGCTGATGAGGCTGATGGTAGATGCATTTAACTCCAGAACTTGGACAGAGGTTGATGTACATACCAAATTTCGGCTAGCCAGTACCTTATAAACAGCCACAAGAAGGCTTGTCTGGTAGGAACCTTTTAATCCGTTAGCAAGGTCCTGGGGACAATAAGAAAAGAGAAAGGGCTAGGGATGAAAGGATCACTTGTTTTAAGCAGTGGACACCTCTGATGTCGGGGCCTGAGTGTGCCCGTTGGCATCACCGGTACAGCCATTGGTGGCAGCAGGTGTGGACTCTTTCTTATGCTGCAGCAGGCTGGTGGTTGCCATTTCTCCTAGCTTGATGCCTGGGCCTGGGCGCTCCATCTTGTGCTCTAAGAGCATGTGGTTCTGGGGCGGGAGCCCCACACAGGCCCTGCAGGAGACATGGGAGCTCAGCAGGGTCACCCCAAGACTGCCCCGACAGCCCTGCATCCCACCCTCCACCACATGCACCTGAGAATGTTCTCTATACAGCTGCGCTGACGGAAGAGTGCGTTCACCACGGGGCTCCCGGGAGGCACCAGCGGTGCCTTAAAGAGGAAGCTGAGCAGAGACAGCACTGGGTGGAAGCCCTGAGGCTCAGGGTCCATGTCTGTGCAGAAGCTCACGCGCTGACAGAGCTCAGTGAGCAGCACTAGGTCGAGCATAATGGGTGCTGCCAAGAGGGAGTCCTGGGTGGCGGTTGGAGAGGGGTGTGACAAGGGCTGGAGAATCACCTGCCCTGCCCCCCCACACCTGACCCACCAGCCCTCCATACCTCACAGGTGTTATGAAGCACCAGGGTATTGGTCCCACCCAACATCAGCTCTGAGGTGTACTCATCCAGGGCACGTTTGCTGTCGCCCACATAGGGGACATATTTGATCACCACCTGTGGAGATGCATCAGGTCACACAGCCCCACCACAGGTGCCAAGGCCCTTGCCCACCTGCCCACACCCCCACGCACGCAGTGATCTGGCTCCTCTCCAGGTGCGTAGAGTATACGGTTGCTCTGAACCATGTCATCCACTACGCTGCTCTTTGTCACCTCCTTGGAGCGGAACTGCAGTGGTGCAGACAGGTTTTGTCCATCGTTGTTGCCCAAGTGGTTATAGCTCACGATGGACATGGTCTGTGTGATCAGAGACATGGTGAATGCAGGTGTGCCCAGCTCTGCAGTACCCTCACTAACCCAGGGCCCTGGCTGCCTTGCTACTGCACTTCATCAAGCTCCCCTCCCCCCGCCACCCCCTACCTTGAGGCCAGAGCCGATGAGGAAGTCCACCAGAACAGACTTGACCTTTGTCTGACCAGACTTGAAATCGTCCCCGCCCACAAACACATGGCGCTGGGAAGCCAGCTCCAGGGCACCGGGCACCAGTGTGTTCTGTGGGGAACCATTGAGGAAGGCACAGCCCTCCAGGATGCTGGCCACAGCAAAAAGTGTGGATGGTGACACCTCCAGGCCAAGCTGAGGGCAGAGAGGCAGTCAGTCAGCCAAGGCTTCCTGTGTACTGGCCTTGTCCCCCCAGGGAAGCCTGGGCGTGTACCCACCTGTATAGTACGAAGCAAGTTTTCGGCCGTGTCATTGCGACCTGGGACCACATCGCAGAAGCGCTCTGTATTGGCAGTCCACAGCACAATGACCTTGTCCAATCCTGCGCTGGATCGGAAGTCTCGAATGTCCTTTCGGATCTGCTCCAACTGGGAAAAGATAGAAGAGTAGATAGAAGTTGTCCAAGCCCTCCAGGGGCTTAAGCCACTCATTACCTAAGGGTGGGGCGGGGTTGGGTTGTTGGGTATGTAGGCAAAGGGAAAGACCACGTGGCCAGTTAGCAGGGGGCAGTTGAGGCCCCCACCTGTTGCGCGCGTGTGCCAGGGATGAGGTTGTCTGCACGTGCTGTCTGGTTGGCAGCGATGAACTCAGGAATGTAGACGGAGGGCCGCGGACGCAGGCTCTCCATGTGGGGCCACAGCTGCTCTTGCAAGCCGCAGTCAAGGACCTGTGCGCGCCTCATCGCCTCCGCCAGATTCAATGACGAGATATCCCAACCTAGGTTGTAGGGACCCTCACACTGAACCCATCCTGGACCATGGGCCTTCCCACACATACCCCCTTTCCGCCCCGACGTTCCGCCCACCGTCAAACACCAGGTCGTTGGGGGCCACCATGGGTAGCAGCGCGCTGAAAGGGACGAACACTTCCCGGCCGTTCGCATCCAGACCCAGGTTCACGGTGCCCGCTTGGGTCAACGAGCCATAATAGTTTGCCTCCTGGATGAAGTGGGGGGGGGGAGGAGCAGGTTGTTGAGGGGAAGGGGCCCCGCCCCATCTCCGCTCAAGCCAAGAGCAGGGATGACGTCACCCACACCTCATCCGGCTCCGCCTCGCCCCTCGGGGTCCTCCCGCCTTCTTATCGCTGCCCGGGGCCCCCACCTTGCGACCAGTGCGCGTGGGCCAGGTCAGGCGCAGCCGGTTGGCCAGCACAGCCGCGGTGAGCGTGGAGCCGTTGTTCCCGCCCCAGCCGACAAGCATGACCCCGAGCCGGGGCACCTGCCTGGCGGTGCAGAAGGTGAAGCGGGTAGCCGTGGGCTGAACCTAAAGACGACGGGTGGGGAGTGAGATTCGGGACCTCGGGCTCTCGGTGTCCGCCGCCACCCACGCCCCGCGCGCACCCGCAACACGCCGCCCTCGCGGCTGACGCGCGTCGTCCGGTACTCATAGCGAGCCTCGATGGCCTCGGCGCTGTAGACCACGTCCGGGCTATCCACCAGGATTTCGGCAGCGGGTTCCATCTTGGCGATCTGCGGGCCAGAGCCTGTAAGCGCCGGCCCTCCGCCCAGGAGACCGCCTTCCACCCCAGGACAGGACCACACTCACCAGCTCCGACTACTGAGGCGGACAGCGCAGGGCTCCAGAGCGCGCGAACAGCCGAGAAAAGCGCTGAGGCCACGCCCAGACCACGCCCCCATTGGGCGTGACAAGCGGCCCGGGGTTCGAGGTGCTCGAGACCCAGGTGGCCGGAAGCCGTGTTAGGCGCGAGTGCTGTGCTTGTTGGCTCGTTGTGCACCCTCGTTGTGCCGGGACCACACGACAGCCAATGAGCGACAGCCACCGTCAGGGAGGCGGGGCATTGGCTGGGTGAAGGGCCTTAGGGGGTCCTAGAATTGCACGCTTGTCTGACCTGCCCTCTCCTCTCCCAACCCCCCAGTCCTGAGTACTGGCCTATGTGGCCAGGCCAAGAGGAGGGGACAGGATGGCCAGGCTAGCACAGCCTGCCCCTGGGCAGACATCTGAGATAAGAAACGTGGGAACCCGGCAGGCAGGCGGGGGAGGCACCCCCAGAACTTTCCAAAACAAGCGGCCTCCTCTTAGCGGAAACTTTCCATTGCTGGAGCTGGGCCAAAAAGGTAGATGGTCTCCAATGTGTGTACGAGAGGGAGGACTATACTTTGTAGGCATCAGGATTTTTTGTTTCAGATAAGCTGTATCAGTGCCACTATGAACGAACAGAAAGGGGACTGAGCACATCCCGGTGATTCCCAGAGGGGGCTGTTGGAAAGGGTTTTCATGTATGAAGAGATTGTTGAGGGAGAATTACAGGCAGAAGTCGGTCCACTGTAAACCCTAAAGTTAAATCTACGGAGAGGGACTGGGATGCAAGTGGGGCTGACCTGTGAGCTGAGGATGCAGATTGTGCCAAAAAAGGTCTTTTCCTGTCCTCTTGGGGTGTACTTCAACAGAAATGGCAGATGACTTAATCAGCCTTGTTTAGATAATGATTATGCCTGCAGGCCAACCTGTCATCCAGCATTTGGGAGGTTGAGGCAGGAAGCCTGCTGTTGGGACAGTCAGCTAGGCTGAGGAGGAGAGTCCTTTCTGGCCTGGACATCTTGGGGTGGGCAGCGCTGTGTGGGACAATGGTTGGCTCCGGGTTCCAGGGATGGCGATGGAAGATCATGGCCAGGCTGTTCTCAGGTGGTGGGTACACAGTGGCCCGCAGGGCGCCTGGCTCTCCTTCCACCCCCTCAGCCGCCTCAGAAGTCTAGCCAAGGCCTGGAGGCTGACTGACCCTGGCCCTTCCCTTGTGGGCTGTCTTTAACTTTTTCCTTTGAAAACAAACATGCTCACAGACTCTGCCCTGGCACAAACTCAGCCTCTGCTATCTGCTTGGAGTGGGCGGCTGAAGGTGGTGTGCCCACTGCTCAGCTCCATGGCTTCAAGTTGAGTGAGGGCTGGGTGGCCAGCTTAAGACACACACCACCTCCTGCTGTGATCTGCCTTTTATTTTATTTTTGGGAAAAAACAAAAGAAAAAAAAAAACAAAACAAAACAACAACAACAACAAAAAAAAAACGTTCCATCCTTCAGAGCTGCTAGAGCTATGGTTCCCTCTCCTTGGTGCTGCATGAGAACCCACCTTGTCTGTGCCGGGCATGGAGGTGCCCACTTCTACAGTAGCTCTCCACCACCCCAGCCTGCCTGGCTGGCCTCACAAGGGGCTTGGGCCCTGGACCTCACTTAGGGCCACCCCACACCCTGCAGTGACATACACAAGGCACAGTGGGAGGGAATTTGAGTCCATCAAATTTATTATAGACTTTAAAAGTCGGTGGTTCACCTGCTTAGTGTACAAAAGACAGATTCTGAGAAAAGTCCCGGGGAGGCGAGCCTATCCTGTCAATTGTAACAGTTTGGCAAAAGTGAAGACTGTAAACACCAACTCCATGGCTCAAATTAGACCACCCACTGGTACAGTCCAAAGGCAGAGACCACCAATAAGTTAGACTATCTTTAACCTGCCAGAGCCTTGCAGCCCAAGCCTGGCCCTGCCCTTCCCTTCATAAATCTCAGACAACAAAACAACAGACCAATTCAGCTAACGGTCCCTGGGTGGAGTCCCAGGGCAGGAGAGGGGCACACTGGGTCAAGTCCACGCAGAGCATGCACAGTGCAGAATCTGGCCCAGCCCCATTTAGAGACCAACAGCTATTTAAATACGAAATGTTGGTTTCCTCTAGGGTCTGGGGACCCCAAAGGAAAGCTAGGAGCTGAGCGGGGTGGAACTGTAATAGGCAAGGGTCTCCTGGTAGCCAGGCTCTTTGGAAACCATCCAGAGACGCCACCGAGGTTTAAAAAAATAGACATCTGGGTTTGAGTCTCTGCTCTCCCCATTCTGCAGCTATGAGTAGCAGTGACCCTACCGCTTCCCACACATCCCCATCATAGATTCCCTCTCTGTGCACAGCTGAGAACCCACTCACACCAAACACACACATACACACACACACATGCACACACACATTCACACCAATGGCCCCTAGGATTTGGGGTATGAGAAGACGAGGCACAGTAAGAAAGCAGCAATTGGGGGCCACAGGCCTGCGCCCTGAAGAAGGTAATCAAGGCATCACCCTTGGCCCCCTCCCCCACCCCATGGGAACCCAGCAGAGAGTACCCCAGAATTCACAAATGGATGGAGGGATGGAGCAGGGCCAACAGCACAAGACCACATAGCCTCAATGTGACATGAAGGGCAGGTGGGGGAGGGAGCTGCAGAAGACCATATGTTGTGGAGGGCTTTGGGTACAGCCTAGGAGCTGCAGTGACCTAGCCAGTGGGGATCTGAAGGCAGGCAGCAGGACCTGGCACTCTGCTAACTGTCCCTGGAGCCTCTAGCCCTGGAGGTACGGGCCATGGAGGAGGCACGGAGTAGAAAAAGTACAAAAATAGACAGTCTCTGCGGCAGCTAAAGGGCCGAGTTCATAGAAAATTAGAAAAGGCAGGCAGAGCCATCGGGATAGCCCACTGGCATGCTAGGGCCAGGCCTGCAGCTGCCGCTGGTCATACTCTGCGATGAGGCGCTTGATGTGTGCCAGCTTGCGGTGCAGGTACTCGCAGCGTCGCTTCTCTCGGCTGTAGTTGGTGTTGGTCTGTAAGGAAACCCAAGTGGTGGGTGAGACAAATCTTCCCAGCACCCCTGAGCCAGGCAGGCCTCCCTACTCAGCACCCACTTTGGCTCACACACCTTTTTGATTTTCCGGTATTCCTGAAGAATCTGCCCACGGGTTGTCTGGGGGAAAACACCAAGTACTAATTATGTCCCACCTGGGGAAGCTCCAAATTCAAAACCTTCTCTGAAAGAGACCAACTAGATAGATAGAGCATAGCCACAGGAAGTAGGTGACCTTCCTGTGATTCTTCCAAGGGTGCAGAACACATGGCAGGGGAAGACACACGGTAAAGTAGCCACACTAGGGAAAGGGAAGTACATGCCCCAGCCCAGGTCACACACTGTGCTCAGACCCTACTGCAGGGACTCATGGCTAAACCCTGGGCATGGGTCACAGCCAGCTCTGGGTAGCCCGCACTACCTCATACTCCTCGGAGCCTTGGCTCAGCTGCCTGAGCTGTGCATCAAGCTGTGTGAACCTGCGCGTGATCTGCTCGATGCGTGCATGCAGGCTCCGATACTCATTGTATTCAGCGTTGAAGTCATTCTTGTAGCTCTGACGCTGCTCTGGTGACGAGATGGCAGGGTATTTCCTGAGGGACAAAAAGGGCTGCTGGGCTCAAGGGCACAGTGGGTGGCAGCACCTGGCTCAGGCAGGGTCTGGGTGGGGCATAGACTAGGTAAGATACTCACAGCAAATAGTCTGGACTCTCTGAAGCGGATGTGGGGTCACTGACACAGGCTCCATTCAGACCTGCATGAGTAATGTACCCTTAGTCCAAGGGCAGTGTGGGGGATTTAAGTCATGCTTGATGGCCACAAGTCTGGGCAGTAGCAGTGGATCATGTGCCAAGACCAGCTGGCCACAGTGGGGACCCAGTGTCCAGGCTATAGTCACATAGCCCAGACACGCTCCTTTCCAAGTGGCCTCTAGACACGGTGGCTTGAAGTCAAACCCCACAGAACTCATCCAGTGTCTGGCAGCATAGGGCATCTGTACTAGGCTGGAGACATAAACCCTGGCCACAAAGAAAACAGGGCAGAAGTGGTCTCTGGCAGACAGCAACTCCAAACCTTGTTGGCACTGTTCTTTACGGACAGCCCTGGCAGATCCTACTCCTTTGCACAGCGCACACACTCAGGCTGTGCAGCCAGGAGGGGTCCTTATCATGGCACCCCCACCAAACCTTCTACCAGGAGCTAGTGGAATCTAGGAAGGGGCGAGCAAGGCACAGACAGTGCCTGCCAGGCAGAACACCACTTTCCTGCCATTTAACTCATTTATAGGTTCTCATTCTGTAGCTACTTACTTGGGCTAGCAGCTCAAGGTCTCCATACACCATTTCAAACAAATGCTGTTAGCCTAACTCATTGTGACTTCAGGGCCCCTAACCCATGGTGCTGGTCTACAAGCTGCAGGGCTCTCAGTGGCAGGTGGCAACTGTCAAGACACTTGCACTGTGGAGCTGGCCAGGCTGAGAAGGCCCCATAGGTATAGAGATGGTGGGGTGGGGTACTCCTAAGATGTCTGCTGAGGCCCTACTAAACATGGGCCTTGATGGAAGGAGGGAAAAGGAGTGTCCTATGCAGCTACAACATCCTGCCTAACTAAGCACAGGGGGCTAGGTAACCCATCAATTAGTTCTGACTTCTAGAGGCCACATGTGCAGGGCTATCACAGAGAGGCGTGCATTGTCTGGCTTCTGGGTTTGTTTCTGATCAGGATGGGCTGTAGTTTCTTTTAGGGTAGTGTGCCCGACCCTCAAAATGTCCCCAGACAAAGCCAGGGTTGTCTGTGGCTAAGGCCTCTAATAGCACTTGGCAGGTGTGGCAATGGTGGCCCCACAGTGG